TTAACAAACGGAGACGTAACAGTACAATAAGAGTATTTCAACCACACTATATTCGTCATATCCATTGCAGACAACGCCTTTCGCTTAATCCAAAGCTCTTAAAGCGGGCTGGGATGTGTTGTAGCAAATTGCCTATATAAATGGTGTTCTGACCGTTACTTGTGTCTGTTGTATCGTAATCGGTCTGAAGATTGTTTGTTTGTTTTTGAATTTCACGCAAAGCTACACTAGGGCTATCTGCGCCAGCCGTCCTTAATTTAGCAGTGTAAGACTAGAGGGAAGGCAGCTAGTCATCACCACCCACCGTCAACTCTTGGACTACTCTTTTACCAACGAATAGTGGGATTGACCGTCACATTATAACGCCCCCACGGCTGAAAGGGCGAGCATGTTTGGTGTGACGGGGATTCGAACCGCAGACTGCGAGTCGAGCGCCCTAACCACCTGGCCATGCCGGCCCGGTCTGAAGAACTCTATAATGAGCGAAAGTGTCGTCAATAATGGATATGACAAATTATGCACGTACACAGGAGGTGTTCGGCCGAACCCCTATTTTTGTGATGTAAAACTATTATGCTTATGTAGTTAGAGCGCAGCTGCTTATGGCATTTAATGTTGTTGTTTTTTTTTTTTGTTGTTGTTGTTGTTTGTTTTTTACATGCAATGGCTAACTGTTGACACTTTGTATTCGAAAGTCCGAAGCCGTATAGCTACTGTGAGGTATTGTAGGCTGGACTCTTTACAGTAGGTGTCTGTGACTTGTTGGCAATAAATTTCAACAATGAACAAATAGCAACACGTTCCATTTGTTTTTATATAGTATATTCAAACAAGTCAAACGTATATACAGATGTTTGTTGACTTTTCATTGATGTTTGTGGATTTTATGTGAACATCCATGCAGTTGTTTAAGCCCCTCATAGCACCAATTTTTTTTTTAGTTTCCACATATCCAGCGAGTATAGACAGCTGATCGAGGTCCAAAGTTTCATGGTCCAGTCCAGTCCTCATGGGAGGGATTTAGGTTCATTTTAAATTTTAACATCGATGTGCGGCCCATTGGTACAAAAACGCGCTACTTTCGAACATGTGTGCGCTATAAGTGACAGTCAAAACCCACTATGTGGTGGGAAGTTGCACTGGGTGCTGTTGACTATCTGCTTATTCCTTCTTTCTATAAGTTTAAAATTAGGAACGGCTGTACACATATAGTCTTTGTGCAGATTTGCTCGAAATTTCTGGAACAAGCAAATAAACATAATCAATGTTGGTTGTTTGTTACGGTTTATGTACAAGTAGAGTTTCTTGTGTAATATTCTCCAATGCACGAATTTCCCGAAAAGTAGTCAGTTCGGGCCTACTAAATGAGTTTATGCTTTTCTCCGAAATCTGACTAATTTCGTCATGAAGATAGAGTCGAGACGCAGAACACACATACAACAACAATATTAAATAAACAACAATCAAATTTGCAAACACAAGACAAAATAAAGGCAAGTTTTACTGGTGGGTGTGTTGAATTGATGAGAGAGGTGTGGAGAATTCTTCAATAGATTTCTCTTACGAGTTCATTGTGATTTCTACCAAGTGTTACACTAGAAAAATCTCCAAAATGTAAAATAAATCACCCCGACAAGTTAAAATCCAAATGCCTAATATATCAAAGCAAGTTAAGCAAAATTTAAAGTCTACAAAACATACACGTCAGCAAACGTTAAAAAACTGAAGTTGTAAACCCAGAAAAAGTTACAAAAATTTATATGTTATTCAGGTTGAAACTTGATTTTGACTCTTTCACACCCAGATAGATGCAGT